GGCACGCATGCATTTGTTTAAGCCCATCGTGGACTCAAGGGCGTATGAAAAACAGAAGGCACGCGTTGAGATAGCAACAGAGGAAAGCTTTGGGAGTTAAAAGCTGCTGTGTCAAAAAGGCATTCAACCTGTCACAACTGCCTTGCCCTCAACTAGAGCCTTTAAACATCCCAAAACCAAACTTCTGAATAAAAACACGTTAAAACTGTCATGAATTGCGTTGGTTCACACTCGCTAATCCGGATACTCCAGTCTCCGACACGATGTCTGTCTTTTCACAGCATGGCATCAGCCGAGCGGCACCTCAATCCCCCTTCATTAGCGCAATCGACTATCACGAATTATTGCAACACCTGGGTCTCGATGTTAGCACATTTATGACTCACGCTGTGCCACACACCTGAGCTATAAGTACGCGCAACCACCACACACAAGACGACGACACCGACTAGGTTGAAGCTCTGAGGTAGACGATTGTGTCTGCGTCCTCTCCGGTCTTTTTCCTCATCGCGGTAGCAGGGTAGCGTAATCGAGTAAGATCCAACTCAGTGGCCCCGGCGTGGTTCAAGACCACATGTTGGGGCTCACAACAAGGAAGTTGTAGCTTCATGAAGAACGTGGCTTTTGAGTATCAGAGAGGCTGGATTGTTCACGACTCAGTGGTACCAAATAAAAATGGAGCAGAACTCGTTGCTATGACAACAGCATTTTATACCGGCTCCAAATTCTTCAGTTTTTTCAACTTAAATTCAGTAATTTTGACTTGGACTGCATAACAGCAAGTATTTAATTCAGTAAAGAAATGGCATTTTGGTTGCAGTTATAAATTTAGCAGCAACTACGCATGTTTTTGTATTTCTGTGGAGGATTTTCGAGGGCCGCAGGAATATTAATACCAGTTTTGTGGCTTGATGACAAAAGGCTTATTTTGCACTGGAGCTAGTAATGTGAATGGGACGATTTCTGCGCTTGACGCAGAAGAAGACATGAGATTGTTCTTTAGGTTTAAACGCGCCAATTTCGATCTCATTAAGAGAACCACTGACTGACTTCCATGAGGTGCGTTTGATGGAGCTTTGGAAGGAGCAAATTAAGCACATTCAACATCTTCAATTTGATCTTCATTGCTTCGGACAGGCACCCAAATAGTGTCACTCAGTAGGTAGCTGGAACACCGCCAACTTGCAGAGTAAAGTGCATTTACGCTGTACACTATTCGTCATCTATATTGACGAATGTCTAAACACATCTAGGTAAATTACTCTTTCCACCAATCAGTCCTTAGTGCCCAAATTAAGCTTTTTACGGACACGCCAGAGAATTCGGCTAATTTGCTTGCGTGGCACAGAGGCATCCATTGGAGCATTGATCCTGTGGGTGTACAGCTTCAACCAAACAGCGTCACGATTCAAGGGGGATCAACATTCTTGTAGTCTCCCATGGTAATAGCAACGAGAGATGAACACTCAGTCCTAACCATTCCCAACGTAGTCCCTCAATAATTCAATCTCATTTGCCCGAACCAAAATTTTCCCTAGATGCAGTGTTCCTTGGCATTGAGGGCGTGGTTACACTAAACCAAACGATTGCATTGATGCCTTCTGGCTAAAATTTATTCCGGAAGACTTCTGTGGACGAATCTAAACATGAAGCGGATTTGTGTCAAAGAAGTTGGTGGACAACAGCTATAAACTAACATGGGATCTTCATCCCAACGAGACGATGGTTTGCGCGGTGTTGGGATTGTAAAGGCATCAGCAATTTTGATCACCAAGAGCAAGTGAGCTTGCCGCTTGACAAAGCTCGTCAACACAGTTGATAGGGATCCACGATTCCCAAAATTTCATTACGCTTTTTATCAGGTCAAGGTCAACCTTGACTCGATTTAGTTCCACTTTTGACAACCCACTCCGCTCTGGTCTTGTTCTTGTATTAGCCTGGGAAGGTCGGTTCTAGCGTCTTCAAGGGATCAGGTACCGTTATTTGAGTGGTTTTCTCTTTGTTACGGGCAAACGTAACAACAGTTTACGCATCTCGCATAAGCTGACATCCTGTAACTCCATTGGAGAATCTGGACGCATTCAGATGTTACTTCGCATAAAATGCCACCTCGTCAGCTCGTTTCCAAACTTGGTAGAAAACTCAAGAATGGGCTTGACATCGACATCGAGATTGAACTAGAAGAATTTCGGCGAAACCGAAGGAGAAAGTCGTAAACAAAAATTTGGTGTCGATTTCGACGCAACAGCCTCAAAGGTGGCATTTGATTGGATGTCAAAGCGTCAGCCAAAAAGTTAGTCTGGGAGGCAGAATTTCAGGCACAAGTGGTCGTTTTGGATTTCCCGCAGGCACCAAGTGAATTTTCACACAGAAAGGGTGGCGGCACTGACAACATCCAAAGTGCAGAGTAATTAAAAAGATATAATGGTTGGTGCGATGGCAATAAAAGAATTACGACAACATGTTTTACGAGGCGTGGGTGTGTGTGTAATTTGGAGCTCTCGGACACAGAAGCCCTTCGGGTTGCAATTTGGCATCTTTCGACCTTGTTTAACTATATTTAGTTGGATTTACCGGATGATGTGGCTGGTTTCGATTGAAAAGCACTCTCGACAGTGGCATTTTTGACTTATGGGCCAGGCGAATTAGCATCCTGGAATTCTTAGAATGGTCTGATATTCATCGATGTACAGTGGAGGTAGGAAGAAGCGTAAATCAATAGGTTTTGGAACCTTCTACCGGTGACAAGGCGCTTTTCTACATTCGTGGAAGGTCGTTTTTGAAAACTGTACATCTAAATAACATAATCAAGCAGGCATCCATTGCATTTTTATCCCAAAAAGCGAACCTTTTGGCCACCAATGGGCGCCTCGCAGAAGCGTCGTTTGCTTGCGTGATGTCGGAAGGGCGAGACTCCGACCAAGAGTTTGTAGACGGTGCATCCGAGGGAGTACCAGTCGGCAGAGAAGGCGTAGGCGACGCCCTTCTGCAGCACCTCGGGTGCCATGTAGCCCTGGGTGCCCACGGTGGCCGTCGGCCAGCCCTCCGACACGTCGCACGCCAGCCCGAGGTCGCTTATGCGCAGGTGACCGCCTTCGTCCAGTAGGATGTTGGCGGGCTAAAATGCAGTGAAGTGGTTCGTCAGAAAAGGCCACGTGACAGGGCTGGCTAGACTGTTGTTTCACCGGCCTGCTCGAGGCTTAGTCTCTTTCAGCTGTTGTGGATGCAGGAACAGGGTATCGGATTGGTTAGTATGTTGCATTATCAGTTTTCACAATGGGGAATGATTTAACCTTTCGTCGGCAGTGCTCTCCACACCTGTGTGTTCAGAGAATAAATGCATAGCCAACGTTTAGAGTCATCTTCGGTCAAATTCCCCCAATTAGTACAGACCACAGTGCGGTCCAAAATGATTTTGGATTACTTTTTCGAGTTATAATCACTTGCTGTTATTTGAAAGCAAATTTCCAAACTACTTATCGCGGTCATGCGAAAAAATCAAACTAGCGCCCCACAATTACGAAAATCAGAGGAGTCGATAGTTGATCCGATTTTTTACCAATTAATGGGACGTCTGTCGCCGTCGCCTCAATTTTTACTCAAGACTTGGCACTCATCGTCTCAATTTAAACATTTACTTTGAATCTTAATGCTCGCTGATGCTCTGGATGTAGAGTGCAGGTGTGGAAGTAAATAACTACCGAAAACCAAACTGGCCTACACGGTTTTGGACAGGTTAACAAGTGACTGCACTCCGCAACCCCAATTTTTACGAGTCCGCGCACTATCACAAAAATTCTCTTTTCCCCACCAAAGCTAGCTTGCTACGCTGAACAGAGGCTCATCATGTAAGGAGTTTGCATTTTGTCCCGTGAACTTCCTCCATCTTCCTGAAAACTACTTCGTGATTCTACGCCAGTGGAACTCTTTCTGGTCCACATCAGTACAAATTTGGACTACCCGAGTTCGTTTAATGGATCTGTGGATGTGATGAGGGTGTGAAGCTGATCTCAGCGATTATGTCGTCACGCATGAGCCAGGATTCAACCACTTCGTGATTTAATTACACAACGCCCCTTTAAGTTCACCAATGATCGACAACGCGACTGTGTGTCGACACGACACAGCAGCTTTCGATGTGGTTTGTGCTGTTCCGCCACGTCCGAACGTTATCCAGGGCACTTTAAGTGACCAAAAACTTTGGATATTAATCTAATCATCTCTTTGTAAGCCTCAGTAGCTGCCTCGGTTTTGGGAAAGAGGACTATCATAAAGAGTTCTTTATGATAGTCCTCTGTGCACAAATCGGCCCCAACACTCAATAGGCAAAATCACGATGTTTCATTTCTAAGGGCTAAGTCAGACGACTCTTTCCACGCATGGCTCCACGTCTAACGCACCTTCAGGTCGCGGTAGACGATGTTCCTGGTGTGCATGTGCTCCAGCCCGAGGATGATTTCAGCAGCGTAGAATTTGACGTCCTCCTCGGTGAAGGTGCCGCGTTGGGTGAGGTGGTAGTTCAGATCACCGCCGTTCATGAGGTCCAGGATGAAAAAGAGCTTCTCCGGCGTTTGGAAGGCGTAGGTCATGCACACGATGAACGGCGATGCATCCTAGAGCCAAAATAACTTGACAATTACGCAGTCCACAATGCGCTATAGCACAGGCCGTTACTATTTTGAAGTTTACGTCAAAACAATGAACTTGTACAATTTGACGGGTCTTTTTGTGCCGTGTTTGACAGCCACAAAGCAGTTTCCTCAAGAAATGCAACTTTTTTTCAATGATAGCGTTTCGGGTTGGGGAGGACCTCCGTGTTTTGACATCATTGGCTTAGTTTGCGCTTAGTTGCGTTGCTAAGGCCGAGAAAATTTTGTGAGGAGGAGGTAGACATCAGTTACCCAGCGAGATGGGACACGAAGAAATAAATCCCGATGTTAATTTCAGCTTTAAAGTTTCACCCACTTCCGGCTGTCTACCAAATTGGGAAATTCATGGACACTAGTTAAGCCCGTATTTCCGAATGTGCGGATGTTTAAATTGGTTTCGCTTGATTAAAACAGATTCATAGTGTAGGATTAACGCGAGGTTAGGCCAAGTCCTCGAGATGGCCAAATATTCATGTCGATAAACTAGCTTTGGATCTGCTAAAGTTCAGTTCTGTTCCCGCACACTTGTCAAATGTCAACTCTCCAGCCTCTAACCAAATACAGAAACAGTGCCCAAGCCAATGGAACGATCTTGCAGAAAGTGGGAAATTTGGATCCTTCGTAAACCCAACAAAAAGGGAATCGTACAAGTGAACGTTTGGTGTAAGTGGTTTTGGGTGGCACTCGAAACACATTTTTCCTCTAAATTTCCGTGCCACGTCTTGGTAACTAGGCATGACATTTTGATGAATGAAAACGGTGTGGGTGCTTCAGCGTGGGACTTCGAACTCCAACACATCGTCACGCCTGACCTTTCATGTCAACACGCTGGTCTTTTGTCCTGCTAAGGGCATTCCATCATGAACAAGTCTTGAACTCTCTAATGAGGTGGATTTTCCGAACAATAGTGTATTTCATCGGTATTGATAGAACCGACTCGAAGCAAATTCACACCCTGCTAAATCGATGATTTCGTGTCAGTTGACTCTTAAACTTCATAAAGTGCGTGTGTGTGTGTAGGCCAATCGACAATGCCTCTATCAAGACCTCTGACTGGTTGAATCCTGTGAAATCCAGCAAGATTGACAAGAAAGGAAACCAGGTTTTGGCTGTCTTGGTGCTAAATAGATTCCGCTATTTTACAAGAAACTGACATATTTTTAACCCGGGCAAAAGTGGTCGAAATTTAGTCCCCATTTGGTTAAAGCACCTGCAGACCACGATGTGCTTAGCTATTTCACCAGATCCTGGATAGTTTGTTGTAAATCAGCTTTATTTTTAGCCGTCAAAGTCACCGAACCTTCCTATTTTGCGTCGCAAAAAAAAACAAATATTTACTCTATCTGTGACAGTCGCTGGCAGCCCGTAAGTGCATTTCTCTGTTTGCATGTGCTGTCTGTTCCCTTTTTCGTATCAGATTACACCCCTCAACAAGGATCATGCTGGGAATAACATCACTCACCCCGTATTTGATTAATTAGCGTTGCTAGGACTGACCACATAGAACGTGACCAGCATGCTTATTCGTGGAGTGTGTCTTGTTCAAGGAATTAACAACGCGACTTTTGATAAAAAACGAAAAATTTAATTTTTGGCGATAAAGCCCCCGTCTAAGCACACACTAAAACGACGCTGTCAGTTTGTTTTTAGGCAAGCTATCGTCGTATAATCGCCCACAGCTAATGCGTTTGGATGTTAGAGGTGCCTCAGGAGTTGGTTAACGGATTTCCCCCGTAGACGTCGTAAATTCCTCAACGAAGGCATTAGTAAATCTGTTTCTTAAAATTGGGTCACTGCTTGCAAGCCAATTTCCCCCACCATAACAACATCAAAACGCATTAAAAACAAAGACCGATTAGGGTGTTTTGGGAAATTTGTAAAAAAATGGAATCTTGGAATGCAGGGCTTGATTTAATAAGACCGGGCGAGAAAGGCAGATTTTGGCGAAATTTCGCACTTTTGGTTTCATGTGCGGCGTGGTTTCGTTAAACTCGTGTGTTTGCATAGCTGAGTGCGCGAAAATTCGAAAAGATGCTTCAGAAGCCTCCCTGGCTGTAAACACGTTTGAAAAATCCAGTAATTTTTAAACAAAAATTGCACTTTCTGACATTGTAAAATTGTGAAAACCTGCAGACTCGTAAAATGGTCACATTGAATTTCATTTCCGGGCGTTACAGGATAATTACACGTTAGCCTGGATTTACTATGGTTGTACAATTAAAGTCTACGGATGAGATAGTCCGAGTGAACACCAAGTTGAACTTGAAAAAGAAACAAATCAAAATGTAGGGAAACAGCTTTAAAATATTGCATTTTAAATAGAAAATAAGCAAAACTAGCAATGGTTGGTTTTAACCTGGGTATCAAAGACAATAATCTACTCTAATTTGCTTTAAAAAGTCCATGAAATGCTGGGCACACATTGATGATTGATTCATGCACAAGGGTGGTGATGATGATGGTAGGAGTTGAATAAAAACCGTCCACCTACCCCTGAGCTCACTCGAGACAAAATTGTTCGCTCGTTCAATGCCATTGATTCGCCAGACTTGAGTTTGATCCGTTTCTTGTCTAGACACTTCATTGCGTACCTACAAAAAAACGAAACAAACGCTCTCCCATTAAAGGTCAATATTCGTGGTCATTAGCTATTGTTCTGGGCGCGTCATGTGTGTGTGCGTGTTAGTTAGGCGTGACACCAGATCAAAGGGTTTTACAAACTTTGAAACAAGAGACACTACACTCTAAGCATCTTCCACGAGTTGCTAGATAGCGCGTTAGTGGGAGCATTGTCTAGGTGGAAGATGATAGCCTAGAAACTAGCCGATTTCGGTTCTTGTTCTCTGATTGGTTCCAATCCCAGTCTCAACTCTATCGATTGGTTGGCTGCTTAAGTGCAGTTCAAAATACAAACAAGCTCTGAAATCCCTCCTTCACGCTTGTGTAATAATAGTTTTCGTTATTACAGAGGGGAGATTCTACTGCCTTTGAGATGCTATTTGCAAGTGTAATTTCCCACTGCCTGATTTCTTAACACTCCAAAAACAATCAAGGAGATCCTCCATTTTTGTGTTTTATGATGCCTGCTCGTTTTTGCACCCCAAACTAACAGATGAACAGCAAAAAATAGGCAAAACAGTCTGCAAAAGGGCTTTTAAAGCAGTCTACAAGTGACGCATATATGATTTGGTGCATGACTTGCTTTGAACAGATTTCTCAGCAAATTTAATCACTATAAAAAATCAAGAACAACAAACTTAACCCTGGAAATACTTGGCAAACCGGTTGTCACTTAAAAACCGCAATTTGTGGCCATGTAAACAAAACTAAATATGCAGAAAATTTGCATAAAAAAATACAGTGACAGGAGGCCAGTGTTGTTGTGAATTAAGAGTTTGGTGTAAATGCCTCTTCGTGAGGATAGACCCTCTCTTCCTCTTGGGAATTCATACACGGTGGTTTAGAGTTTTAAATAATTCAGACAACACGGTCTATTCCTTATGGCTCAACTGTTTACCATTCGGCAAAAGTATGTGTTTATTTGAGAACATTTCCACCACATGTTACATGTTTGTCAGCAGCAACATGAGCATAGAATTAAAGTCAAGCCAGTCTGCCAATTGCCAACTGACAGCAAGTAAAACCGCCGCAATCGTGTCCACTTGAGCAAACCACCACACAATACCAGGCGACGTGTCTGTTTACACGAGATGTTTCCCCACAAACTTATGGCTACGTTGTTGAGGCACCGAACCACGTCTCTGTCCCACTCACCGTCGCCCCTCATTAGCGGTCATGACGTCGTTGCTTGCGTGCACCGCATGTCTCCGTGTTCATCAACCAGGCAGCATTTTGAAAACCTCTAATTAGTTGGACTCAAGACAGTAAGTCACTGGAAGCTGGATGCGTAGGCACACTGGAAATGGATATTTTCAAGTTACTGCTGTAGTCACGGACGCAGTTATGTTGCAAAATTACACTCGCACAATGGATACAATGCCCCAGAGTGGTAGTGTACTTGCAATAAAAACGGAGGAAGAATTGACCAATCAGTTTAAAATGTCAGCTCAAATTTGAGCTGTGCACTTTCATTGGTTGACGAAGTGATTGAACAAATTGAGTCAGTTGTGGGAACTAATTAGGCTTAACCCTCTCTCTCTCGTCACTACACTCTGTACAAATTAGTGCTTCGTCGTTATGTGGTCCAGAGAAAATTCGTGTCAAGGTTATGTGGGCGCTGAAGTAGTGGAAAGTAGAGTTCATGAATAATTTATGGCGATTGTGTGGCAGGTGGTTCCAGTTCTCATCACTCCGCAAACCTGGTAGGACACAACTAGCGATAGGAGTCGCAAATGTCATCGTTTCGAAAAGCTCTTTTGCCTGTGGATCGAATTTGGCAAAAACTTTGCTACAGGCCTCCAAGCAACTGCGTAAGGGTGGCGAAAACCAGTGCCTGTGGCACACTGACTCCGTTCTTGTACCGCGGGCTGAATTTCGGTGAAAGTTTAGACAGGTGAGCACGAGAAATGAACTTACAGCCCAATCTGAAATTCACTAATATAAAACAATCATCCTCTTATGCATAGAGAATGGAAAAGCAGCGGTCGATTACGCGATTTGAATTTACAATAGACTGTGTGAGGAAACTGCAAGCCGAGTCCACAGAAAACGTTCGCCACAATGAGTTTCGCATTGTTTTCTACCTGGAAATCTCTAGCATGGAAAAATTAATAGACTTTAGCAAAGGTTTTAAAGTTTATTAGATTTAATGTATCGTAGAAAGTAGGTGGGAATGCGTGGAACATTTGTGAATCACTATGACAATTAGGCAACTCCATTTGTGTCGCCTCTTCAACCTACAATCACTTCCACCTGTTTCCTGGCATTTTTTCTCAAAATCGTGGGTCGGATGTTTGGAGCAAAAGAGCTTAGTTGTCTAAGCGTCTGGTGCTGTACATTTAGTGAAATGTAGGACAAACTGCAACGTGTCATTGTTCTCTGGTTATAATGGAAGACTATATCTGCGCGTCGGTGGTCGCAGTGCCCAAATGTGCGGAAGCCTGGTTGTGAGAGGTAATAGAAAAGTCGGTTCATTTGTGAATGCCCATGCCTCGTGATATCTCATTACTTCCTAGGTAAAATGTTGACGCAGAAGGCAAGGCAGATGCGACAATGAGTTGTGTGGTCAAAGCATCTCGTCGTACAGAAACTCAGGAGACGACGATACTTGTGAGTCGTGACGAAGGCAGTGATGATAACGAGGATGATGTGATTATGCAAATCCATCAAGCGTCACACATACACACGCACAAGCAATTTGTTTCACGCAACCTTACAGTCAACACTGCGTGCTGTGACAAGACCTCGCTTTCGTGGAGTTAGACTTCTCAGAAATTTTAATCTCACAAGTGATTCCTGTCTGGTTAAAGGTAGATTCTCTTAGTTTTGCTGTTTCAACTACTCGAATTGGTGTCGATCAAACTTCACTTGGAGCTCTAACCAAAGTACAGTTTTACCACGAGGACTTGAAATGACAACCAAACTCCATCTTCTACAAGGTAGTTTGGTTGTTGGTGTCATTTAAGCCTGTTTTTGAAAAAAAAACTCTATATTTAGATAAATAACACCGGCTTGAGCCGACTTTATAAAATCATCCGTGTGTCTGGGGCTCTGAAAAAAAATGAGCAAATACTCCCTGTGCAAACCTGGAATTCGCAATCAAGCACAAACCTGAATGCACACACAAAGGACTCAGCTGGGCCACACACTGAATGGGCATTTACGCCACAGTACGACTGACTTGGTGCGAATGCGATACCCACACCCACTCCTTGAATGCTCACGTTAATCGAGCCAATCAGCTTTCATCGACGAGGTGATTAAGAAGTGACACGATTTACGCCGATTTCTGCAGCAGAAAAATCCAAATTTGCGTACCACAGCTGATGAAAGTCAGTTGATAATTGCGCACAGGCGCGACGAGGGGGAGGAGGAGGATCGAAGCCTGATTCGTGCTTCTGGTTAGCGGGGTTAAGTAGCAATTGTGTCTATTCGGGCGAACCACCACACAATACCAGGCGACGTGTCTGTATACACGAGATGTTTCCCCACAAACTTATGGCTACGTTGTTGAGGCACCGAACCACGTCTCTGTCCCACTCACCGTCGCCCCTCATTAGCGGTCACGACATTACCCGCGTGCACTGCAAGCAGCACTTTGAAAAATTCTAACTAGTCTATTCCCAAGAAAGTTTTTTTACCGGAAGTTGGATGCGCAGCAACACTGGAAAAACCTGCAGCCAGATTTAACTTCATAATTTGCTATGGCTGACATTTCACTTTTGCTGTGGAGTCATTCATGTGGCATAATTTGGCGTTGCGAAAATGGGACATTAACTGTCCAATTTACTTGACGTCCATTGGACAGATCCTTCGCAATTTAGCATACCTCAAACTTTATGATTTTTGCTAAATGAAAAGACATGTCACGGGAACGCACTAACTGGAAAGTTGTCTACTGAAGTGAGTTCGTTGGTTTGAAAATGAAGTAGTTATCTTTTAGCGAAAACGCCAGTGAAGTTTGCGTTTATTCAAACGGGCATTTGAATGTTTTAATTTTATATGTAGTTCGATCACTTCTGATTTGTCGAGTATTGTCGATTTTCTACGAACTGAATACAACCAAGTTGATGAAAGGAATTGGAATGAGCCCTGAGTCATTTCCAGCTACCTCCAGAAAATCCACCCCTGTTGCACTGATCCTTTCCGATCCTCCTCTCTCAGGAACCTCGTTACGGTTTTTGCGATCTCCTAGTTCGCGATTGGACCGGCGAAACCGAATACATAATTGACTGATAATTCCTCGGTGACAATATCGAAGGAGGGATTTGATAAGATGCAAAAACGTCAGCCAATCAAATAATCCCCGATTAGACTGGCTTGAGGTAGTTTAACCGTGAGACACTATCGATACTTTGATAAATCCAGCAGCATATTCTACTTATTTAATATTGGTGAGATTAGGAACCTTGGAAATAGAATTCGCGGGCACTGTCAGTTCACGCAAATTATCACAGTTGATTGAAAGCTGGAAGAAGGAGATCTTAACTCGGCTGAAACTAAAGTCGATCCCTAACAAACCAGTCTTGATTGTGCAAGAAAATCCAGCACGTCGGGGCCACGTTACAGCGTTCGTTTGGAACAAGCTGGTGACGGTGTGCAAAGAGGTGGAACATTGGAGGAAGAAATCCGACTTGCCAGGTTGAAGTTGGTTTCGTTTTTTCATCAACCAAGTGTGCCTGGTTGTGTTGGATGCGAATTCGAGCCAGCAATCCACGAACACAAAGGCGATGCTGGCCATTTCGCTGCACACCTCATCAACTGTTCATGTCACTCTGACCTTTTGAGTCCTAACGAAACCACAACTGCTGAAACGCCTACCGCTCACTGACTAATCGAACGAGCATCATCGTGGATGTGTTGGTCAAAGGGGTGTCACTGTCCATCATGCTAATTCCACGATTTCATGGGGCTGAAATTTTCCAAATAGAAGTCAAGTATTCGAAGCTGCGAGGTCCCGCCTAACTCACTGCAAATTGCAAGGATTTGTTGCATTGGAAAATGGAGCACTTTTATCTGTGTATAAAACCTGCCTAATGCAGTATCTAGAAAAAAAAATTGGACACGAAAAATGGTACATTTCCACTTCTACAATGGGGGGACTGCATGTGTGCCAAAGAGGTGTAGGGGAAGAGGAGGAACGATACAAATAATGACAGTTTACACTAAGTGGCCGATAAAAATAATGTTTTCTTAGTTTAAATTGGAACCTTTCAGTTAAGAGAAAGTCCTATTTTTTTTCTCCAAGCAACGCTGATCACGTGCAGCAACCTGAAAATTCCCCTCTGGTCACATTCATAAGTGTAAAAATTTTGTTTTTGTTGTCTAACTGATCTGGCCAAACGCCGATGCATACGGAACGGTCCAAACTTAGTCAGAAACGGTCTAGCTCCATCCAAAATGCTCTTTGCAGTTTTCCTTACGACAACCTTGAGGAGGAGGAGGAAGAGAAGGAGGAAGACGCGTGGGCGTATCAGTAGAGGAGGGTTTTAAAATCTTACGGGAAGTTATAAACTTGGCAGCGAATGTTTGCATTCTTTTAAAAAACCCTGCGCCACATTGAAGAGGAGACTCGTTTGCGAAGGACAAGTTGCTGGGACCCCACTCTGCTTGCGATATTCCTGATCCTTGTGGGCGTTTGGTCTGATCTTGCGAGTTCGTTTAATTTAGATCAATGTGCACTCCTAGCCTATTGATCCAAAGCCGATCCCGCGTAAATGGAGGATGCGGAGGATGCAAGGGCTTGGATGCGCAAATGGAAGACCCGGGCGTTTCACGAGAGTGGCGTTTTCGCCCATTTTAAATATTAAACGAACATGTACTGGAATGATTTTGGTAGGGCGTCAACGCGGGATCAGATCAGATACCAATTAGTTCAAAGGTCAACTATCGCGGCGGGGGAAAAGCACAGAGTGATTAATGTGTCTGCGTTGAAAGTGAAATAAGCGATGTTTTAGCATGATTGTCTTGTAGGAAAAGAACTGTGATTTTTGTGAGACACGAGATGATTTAAGACACAAATCTCATAAATAAAATAATGGTTATGCAACAATACGGCCCAAGGGAGTGACACGTCATGAATGCCATAGCAAGAAGCAAAAAACACCATTTTCAATTCCAGAGTCTCGAAAACGTTAGCGTTTGTTTACTTAGACCGGCACAGCCGATCAACTTTACCCTGATTGGTCAGGCTCCTAAATGTCACAATTTCATCCCAAATCAGTTACTTCAGATGCCGCATCTTTCCCTATCTGCCGACTAGCCCCTAATGACAGTGAATGAACTGGACAAACTGCGAGACAGAAAAGGACGCAGAGTCGCCACATTTGGGGCTTTAATTTGGGAACAAAATTTTTGGTTATTTTAAAGCAAGATGTAGTAGCACACAAAAGGTTTCAAGCAACCTTGAATTCTAAAGATGAGATGATAATTAATTTAACTGCAGGCATCCTCAAAACAAAAAACAAATGGAGATAAATGTCTCTCGGAATGGCAACAGAATTTGTCCTATTAATGTAAATAATTAAACAAAAGGACAGAAGATTCTTTTAACAAAATGTCAAATCATGGGAGCATAATAAAATACTGCATTTTAGTGTTTTTGGTATAGCACTTTAACAAGTGTTCTTTTTTAACACACATCTGGCCGCAACCTAGCCTAAAAATTATGAAAAGTGCTGTTGTTTTTTAAAAAATGCGACTGGAAATATTTAGTCTTCTGACACCCATCAACCATCCGACCAGTTGCCTAAATTAGATAGCATGCATGAGCTACCTATTAGCTACAGATAAGTCAAAGCTTATTAATTTATAATGAAGAAATGTCGCTTGAATTATTCAATAAAAGTCTAGACTCTATTAACAGATTTTACATTTCGAACTCACATCTTCCCAGAATTCAGTTTTCTGCATCCATACACCTCTCCAAACCCTCCTCTTCCAATTATCCGGTGAACACTGAAGTCGGATATTGTTAGCTGTTTAAAAAAAGAAAAACATTATTTAGCCGTAAGCAGGAGGTTAAAAGTGACTGAGTAACTCACCGTAGTATTTAGCTGAACGTCCATCCACTGGAGATAGCGGGTAAAATGTTTGCTAAGAATAGACCACATAGCTACAACACTTACCTTTTTAAAAAAGACTCGTAAAAAATATCTTGAATATGGGTCTTTAATTCCTCAACATAAATCTACAACTTCTCGTCAAGACTCAGTCCTGCCTACCGAAAAGAGGTTCCGTGAGACTGTATTTATTTTAACGCCCTCGTTCAGCTTGTCTTGAACGCACTTTACGTACTCTGACGGAAAGCGCTAAGTTCCAAATTATAAAACGCATGAACCTACGTGAACCTTGGTAAGCAATTCTTTCATTATATAAGAATCATAAATGCGCTTCGCTTCCTTGACACGCTCACCGCCCGAATCAATGTGTTCAAAGTCCATTATCTAAAAATCCACTGAAATTAAAAAGGACCCATACGGCTTCATAAAAATCTATTAGCTGAACATCCGGACCTTCCTGGGACCTGCAAAATTTCACAAAAAATAGGAAGCCTTCGAAAATAACAAAACCATGCTACAAACCCAAACGTTCGCTGAAAATATTTTCGAACGTGATTTTACCACGCTTTTTCAAATATACGAACATAGCACTCCGAATGCTATCTTTTTCTAAGATTAAAGAAAATGAGTACCTTGAGTCCGGAATCATATTTTTCTTTGGAGCCTTGGTGGCGACATTTTTACTTTTTTCCATTGCCATCAAGTAACTCACATCAGCAAGCACAGCTTCGAGGTCAGACATTTTCTTATTTTAAATTTCCAAAAGATAGGAATAATTGCTACATCATCAACATTGCCTTGAACAAAAGCATAAACCAATGATTGCGTTACATTAAAAATTTGTAATGTCGCCAATCCAAACACCTCACGCAGTAATTGGTTGAGCAAAACCCGCCATTCCATTGGCTAAAAAAAGGTTAATGAAAATAATTAATATATACAAACAATCCAACATTCATACACATTACGACCAAATTTGTTGTGTTTCTACATAAAAAATCCCTTAGATAATCGTTATTGTATTTGGCTTAATATTTTACTATTTTAATTAATCGAGGGATTATAAAGACTTTCAACCAATTGTTTAAAAAATACTCTTGCTATTGTCGCAGAACTAATTTTTGTGTCTGATTACTTTATGGCTGCTAAAAAGCCAAAAATGTTAATTTAGAGCATCGCCCAATGTCATTTCGAACTTTCACAAGAATTTACACATCAATCATTCGTAATAGCATTACCCTACGCATTTAAAAAGCCTAATATAAAAATTTTTCAGCATAAAGAAACTTTCCGTTTATGTGACAAAGAAAAGGATTACTGTTTATAAGCCATAGGTGTCTTCTTTAAATAAATTATTTTTTAAAATATTAATACTTCATTGTCAATTCTCCAATGTTTGCACAAGGGTATTTTATTTACCCTATAGAGGCATACTAGATATTTTTAATTTGTATTTCGTTTTATATTAAGTATGTGCAAGTTATAAAAGAATCAGATTACCATTTGTTGAATCCATGCTTTAAAGAACAATATTTTAATCCGAAAACATAATACTTCGAAGTTGCTCACTCTTCTCGTTGTAGCGAATATGGTACATAAATAAAAATAAAATTATTTGAACTCCTTCTTTTTTATAAATATTGTTACGCATTATGGTTTTTTTCATAAATTTGGGTTTGCAGCTTTTATCCAGTAGAGGTTTGGTGCATTGTCTAAGTGTTTCTTCCGTGTTACTAGGTTCTTGTTTTTGAAGAAAAATGGATTGGAAACTAATTCTTCTAGATTATTGGTCGCTGGGAGATTTGCAAACTCTCCACAAATCACCTTTCACCTTTGAACCCCACTTAGCCAGCAGATCCAACTTAGCTTTCACGTTGGTTTAATTATTAACCTGTGTGTTCACGCGGTCCGGTGCAGGACTCTCCAGCGTGGGTCGTGTGTTTTCTATCATTTCTTCCGTTCATTCGTTTAGCTTGTAAGTAATCACCAAAAATCCACCTACACTAATATTAGTATATTTCCACCCTATTATGTGTTTACGGGACTTTTTTTTTCATTTGGCATGTGCACCGAATCTACTTTCTAAACCATTCCCCCTCAATTTTACTGCTACATCAAAGACTCATTTTTATAGATTTAGAAAATTGTTGTGCTTTGTTACTGATTACGCAACGTTCCAATGTTACCATTCTGAATTTTTTTCAGCTTTATGCTGTTATCGCTTGTCATGTTATCTTTTTAGAGCCGGAATGACTACTGTGTTGCCTGAATTCATCACGAAAGTATTCGACTCCTGGACCGTCCTGCGTCTTGCCGAACGTCACGGAACCGGTGGCAGGGAAACAAAAGCCAAGCTCCAAAGTCTAGTAAACTTCGTTATGCAACGACTAAATAAGCGTGTCGAAGCCGAGGACCTGGCCGACATGCTTGAGGACTACCTCTACGACAACCTCAATGTGCTATGCGAGGACGACAGCCAATACGATGTGGCGAACCTCATCCTGCAAGCCTTTACTCTTCATTCAGCTGGCAAGATTCTTGAACTTGCAGAACTGGCCAGTAAACTCCCCGAGGGCTGCAATTTAGCCCAATGTCCTGCACAAGTTGTTGAGGCTGACGTGGACGGTGAAGATGAAGAGAGCGTCTCCGCCGAAAGCAGCGAAGATGATGTGGAAATGAATGACGCCTGAGGCTCTGCCTCCTTTTGTACATATCTTTGTCAAACATGTGCCTTTGATTCTGCTAAGTGTGCTTATGATGACGTCCACGTACTTTTGTCAGCTAACTTATTATTATGTTACTTAAAAGACCCTTTTAGGCGTGTTGATGAGCACATATATCGTCTGGTACGTTGTTTATTGAAAATTATGGACAATGTCTACAAGGAAGCGCTAATGTAGTCACTAAGAGAAGGGTTGGGGGGCAGTCCATCCACCGGGATGTAGGCACCACTGAGGGGTAGCGGAGGACGGCTGTCGTGGATGCCAAAGAGGTTTCTTAGCGCCTGAAGCGTTGCTTCCTTCTCGGCTATTTCAATTGTTTCCCCCGGCGCTGAAATTTTGAAAGGCAACAAGCCAGTAGTTTTTGTTTGCTCTTTGGACGTTTGATGTGTCATATACAAACTTAAAATTTGGGTTTACGTTAATGGATTAAAGGATGAATTAATACAAGAATAAAAGAGAGAAAAAAGTAGTTCTAAGGGTTGAATGCAGGCAGACACTAACCTTCTCCGACTAATTGACAATCACTGTAAATGCCAACTTGGTAGCACGCCAACAGAGTGTTCATACTGCTCTGTCTTTGTAGTCTAAAAGGTTAACGTAAAATCTTTACACGTGTTCAGTTCATTTAAAAGATACCGGCTCCACACGGGATGTATGCATATCCACTTAGCTTAGACCACAACGCCCTGGCTTTTTAGGGAGCTGTGTTGACAGCGAGTTCCAGTGCACTAAATGCAGGGAGTGCGCTTGAATCAACGCATTTTCAGCCAACAAAATTGTGACTTCCATATTAAAAACCCACCTGGCTTCCGGTGGACCGCGTTTTTGGGACCGAAGGACGCCCTCCAGCAGAGAAAATGGATCTTCTTGTAAAGGAAAGTCAAAGTCGGCACAGAACTCCAGGTGTAGCAACCGCGTGAGGATAAAATCTCTGATAAAAAGATGCGCGGCCTGCTGAAAAATAAGGTGAAGAAGGTATTACATTACATTACCCCCTCTCTATTGGTAAGGAGCAGAACTCCAACGGTCAACGCGCAGTCAAAACAACACACTTAGTACTTCATGGAGAAATGGCAGGCCGAGCACTTAAACCCAACGGGCGTGCGAGTAGATTTGAGACATTCTAACCGAAAATGCAACGCAACTAACCCCATGGGACTTAATTCGGTCGCTGCACTAATTATTTCTGTTATTACACTTAAACGGGGAGTAGTACTGCCTGAAGCGTCTACATCAAGCAAACTTGTAAGCTTCTACCCTGTCCTAATTTTTCCGTGTGAAAAAGGGGCTTCCTGTTTCACGGCACAACAATTAAGCACAGACGTTGGCAGTCCACGTATTTTTTGAAGTACAACTTTGCTACGGCACTAGCACCTGGGTCTAACTTTGTGATGTGATTATGACCCAATTAATGGCACGGGAGATCAGCACTCCTTGCCACAAGGAAACCCTAGACATGAATTTGACATCGGTAGACAGAATAACGCAAATAGAGCGACTTCTAAGCACGAGTCCAAAAATTGACGCACCTGGTCATTGGCCAGTGCACCGACAACTGCTAGAAACGACGTAGCTATGGAGTTCAAGGAGGGTGGGCCTGTAACCTGAGGTAGCAATCGAGACTCTCCGGCTGGTTGCGCTTCTTCTAATGTGTACAGGAGGATATCTGTCATACCGAGGTGTGCGCCAACGTGAGCCAAATCGCTATCTGAGAGAAGGCGATCTTTCACGCAGGCAATCCACTCCTCGGGTAGGCGAGGATAGAATTTCCGTAAAAATCCACAGATATAGGCCTCCGACGAGCGGCGTCCTGTAGAAAAAGATGATAAAAGACGCTTGAACACGCGAAAGGGGGCATTCAACTTGGGAAATGACTGTGATTACACGATTGATGCGGAAAACCAAAAAACGCAAGGAGTCTTGTTAAATCACACAAGATAAGAGCCTGGCCCAAACGTGTCATCGCGAACCACGCCGGGGCCACTGCGTCAATCTAGGCCGATTACCCTGCCCTGAGTGCCCACAAAGATGAAGGAGACCAGAGGGGATGAGGCACAGCCGTTTACTAGTCAGATGAACGCAGTTGTGTTGTGTTGGCTGGCTGGCACGATTGAGTGGACTAGTAAAAACACAGAAGTCTGAATGGCCACATGAATAAAGCGGGAAGTGGCAGCACATGCAGAGAGCGAATGAGCAGGTGATCCTGCGTGACTGCCGGTCTAATGGGCGTGAATCAACACGTATCACTACAATCCCCCACCACCGACGGGGGACAACATTACAAACTCAGAAGAGGCGCTGTGATTGGTCACTAGAGCCCGAAATAGGCCTACATCTTCCAAGCGGAAAAATTTGCATGTCTACAACTACAAGCAGACTTAATCGGACTGTTAAAAAGATTACATTCACTGTTGGACAAAAGGATAACATTTCCAGGGACAAAAAATGCCTGAAAAAAGCCGCAAAGTGATGGAAACAAGTAGAATTAAATGATTAAGGAACTGGCTAAAAGAAAACTGTAGGAATCAACGACTGCGTATTAGCAGCACAAAGTCCCTTATCTTCCTAAAAACATTTGTTCATTAGTTTCGAAAATTACCGATGATCCACGATTGGTAATCAGACATCTTTAAACAAAGTGACAGCCGGAAACTTCAGCTATTACTTAGACAACACATTAACAACTTCACGCAGGAGAGAACATTTTTCGTGTCGTCTTTAGGCTGGCCACCAAAAAATATTCGAAATGTTACACACAAACATGATTACCGAATGTATCCATAATTAGGAGGCAACCACTTTCATGTGTGAATCAACAAATTGTAAAAACTAAAGAGTTTTAATGTCCTTTGGGTTTTTAAGTTTACTAATAAGTAATGCCCTACCTGTTTCAGCTAATTCCCGATTATCGATTGGGCCAGTGGCATCGCCAACATCCACAACAAACGCGGCATAAGACTTGTCTGTAAGGCAAAGACGAAGAGTCTCCACGTCTACCGTTACGCCAAGTCTGCTCCTAAAAGCGAGAAGCTCTGAATCATAGTTCCAAGGCGCCCAGGCTGACCGCGGCCGAAATTTCTCTGGACCCTGCAGTAAACGTCTATGGTATAAATCTCGAAGGTAGGGACGAACATGTTTTGGGACTCGTGCCGACCTTAAAACTTTTATGAATGACTGATACAAGAGGTGACTTACGCGTTAGAACGGGAAAGAAAGGAGACAGTAACCTGCGCATTCCGTTAGTGCGGTGTGGTGTGGTGTGGCGTCGGATGAGGGCGCAGACATGTTGGACCACCTGGCCTCAGCCAATCCCGTGTCTCTCTGTGTTCCAATGGCATGCGAGGAAGGTAATCAGCCAACCAGAGAAGGACATGGATGTGATACAGTATATAATGAGCGGCGTGGCCAGCGTGGGGGACTCGGATGGAGGGCGCCTGACGCGTGGCTCTGGCTTCTGATTGGTCAATAAAGCCTGTTCTATTGTACCAGTTTTCTTCCTATTAGGGCTC